AATGGACTTCACACATGTGGTGAATCAAAACCTGGGTCTTCAGCTTGACGAGCGAATTCTTTAACCACTAGGCTACCCCACCCATAATAAATAGAAGATAGTGGAGGAATTAATTTTGCCATCATGATAAAGATACATAATATTGATTGAATAATTTTTAGCTCATCATGCTAATAGTAACTAATGCACATCATAAATGAATATGACATCTATAGTACTCTTAACAAGGTGTAACAATTCTAATAAAATCCATAAAAATATGCATTTTGTATGTTTTTGCAAACTGCTTCTGATGTTGTGATGACAATGCTTTAAACATGTTAAATTTTGTTGAAAATTCAATCAATTCATGTGGAATTCATTAGTGGTAAATATACTAAATCAGTTGAGTACTTCTGACCAGACACTTGTAGAATTTTGTTCATAAAGACTTTGGAGAAGGTGAGGTGAGTTTTATGAATGCCACTTTATTCCAGTGAGTGAGTATGGTTTTACGCAGTTTTTAGTAATATTCGAGCAATATCACTGCGGGGACACCAGAAATGGGCTTCACACATTGTACCAAGCCTCTTAACAGTATTCCAGTTATATCACGGCGTGTCAGCTTAATGTGGGAGGAAAGTCCAAAGTGATGCAGGTCTCTGACGTTTACCACTTTGGTGAAAGCCACGAGCACAGGTATGGTCCTGACAAACCTAGAAACATAATCGGGATTCGAACCCACAATCATAGCTTTCTGGCTTGCCCAAGGGACGCAACTGTGCACAGTGAATCGCGACGCCTTAGACGACTGGGCCACCCACCTCCCCCCCCTCCCACCGAGGTGAGGTGAGGTGGAATTGTTGGATTCAACGTTGCGTTAACATCCTTTGGAGGACATATTTGTAGAAAACCGTAAAACCAGAAAACGTCAAACATCAATAGTGCTCAGTGTCAACCTATCATGTGTTTCATGTAGTAGATAGAACCAGGAGTCAACGAGCTGTATGTTCAATATAGTAGTGTCACATTTCTTTTATATATCACAAATTTATAACCGATGATATAATATGCAAAATGTCTGCTCATAGTATCAATCAATGTAAGGAATGAATTTATCGATGTCAACTTCTTTATTTTGAGTAACAAAAGTGTCACCTGATGAAGGAATAAGTATGTACTCAGAAACATTGTGTTCCTCATAATAAAGAAGTTGACATCCATAAATTCTCTTCCGTATGTGTACCACTTCTAAATGCCTTTCAAAGATTTGATGATCCATGTGTTAATCGATTATTCCATATGGACTTTCAAAAAATAATATTAACAATATTTTACGGAACCACTGAAAATTAATTTTCGTACTTAATCATTTGAAAAATAAATGCTTCATAATATTTCAGCAATAGCAGATTTGCTTCAGTTGGGGAACTCTATATCCATAACGGCCTCTGAGCATCCACAACTTTACATCACTTGTGGGAGAAAACTTCAATTTTAACATTTCCCTGGGGTCCCTCCCACCATCCCTGATTAATTTTCCAATATGTTACCATGGCTTCTATTAAAAAAGTCTAAATCTATATACATCAGTGTTTGAAATAAGTGCCTGCCTGATGGTCTGAGGCAGGTAGATCTTCACTCCGGCCTGTAGTTGCAAATTTGTATAGGTCCTTTAGACCTGTAGTAAATATTTGTGTTGATTTATTTGTCACATTAAGCTGCAGTTTCTTAAATGAGGGCTCAAAGTGATTAGTCGGGGACTGAGTGAGTGAGTGAGTATGGTTTTACGCCGCTTTTAGCAATATTCCAGCAATATCACGGCGGGGGACACCAGAAATGGGCTTCACACATTGTACCAAGCCCCTTCACAGTATTCCAGTTAGTTAACCATGAGGCTACCCGACCGCCCAGTCAGGGACTGAAGCATCTAAGGTCTGTGGGTCCTGTTGGCAGCAGGGCAATTCCTTTATCACATGTTTATGTTTGAAACACTGATCAACATGATCAGGTGAACCGGGGCTCGAAAATCTGGTCATCCTTGAAGGAATGATGTCTACATTTCAAAGTCTGGGATCATTTTCATCCTGGTCTACACGCTGTTATCAGAGTGACTTGTATCCAACAGAGACACTGTTGCTGTGTATCTAGTGTTATCACTGTGTCACATCTAATACTTCATACATTGACCTAGCCATGGGGTCATGTCAGAGGATATCTTCTGACACACTCATACTATATTTACTACTAACTAGTGTTGTTCCAAATAATTAATTTTATCAATGGTTAGTTTCATTTTAAAGCCAAACAACCAAGCATGTAATGTGTGGTAGATGGGTAAGTGTTGTGATACTGGTCATCTACAAGTTATTGTCATTTTTTCATGTTATTTCAGAAATATTCTGTGTATAAAGTTGACTGTATCAATAACTTTGATTTTTGTTAAACTATGACCATATACATGCATTTCTGTCCGTGGTAAAAATAAGTTTCAATAGATTTCTGTCCTAACGCGGTGATAGGGAATGAAGACAGTGGAAAATAGAAGTTCCACATTGACCATCATCTAAACAGCATGTCTAAACGGTGTCTAGCCGGGAGAGCCACATTTCAGAAATGGCTATTGCCGGTAGAGCAACATTTTCAGCTGAGTTCATTTCACCTATTCTAGCGGGTAATTACTTAATCCGATTACCGATACCTTATATGAGTGTCCCACATTTAAGTTACTAAGCGTGGTGTTCTTTAGAGATACCTTTAAATGAGTGTCCCACTTTTAAATTACTAAGCGTGGTGTTCTTTAGAGATACCTTTAAATGAGTGTCCCACATTAGCTGGACTTTGAACGTGCAGCTCACAATGCCGTGACTGATGTATTTCCTGGGACATTAGTTAGAGGGTGTTTTTTTCACTTCACCCAATGTATCTGGAGGAGGGTGCAGAAAGAAGGTCTGGTGATGGACTATGAGGAAGATGAGGAGGTGAAGAAGCTGGTGAGAAGAGCTGCTGCCCTCCCTCTACTACCTCGTGACAAAGTGGATGATGTGTGGCTTGATGCCATTGCTGACTCTCCTGCTGGCCCTAAAGTGACTGCCTTCATGGACTACGTGACAACCAGTTGGGTTCAAGGAGGCGCCTTCATGCCAGAGATTTGGAACCATTTCGAAAACCAAGGCCACCGTACCAACAATCACCTGGAAGGGTGGCACAACAAGATAAAGAAACTTGCCAAGAAGTGCCACCCGAACATCTAGGAGGTAGTGAAGCTATTTCAGCGAGAGCAGTCACTCACAGAGGTTGCAGTCCTGAGACTCTCTCACCAGTGGTCAGAACCTTCACGAAGAAAGAAGTACAAGGCAATCGATGGACGTATTGCGTCCCTCAAGATCCAGCTCCTGAACCAACACCTGAGTGAGATGGAATATGCTGACCACTTGGGCGACCTCCTTCATCTGCAGTAATGACATTAAATCCATTATGATATTCATATGCTATTCACATTCATCCATGTAAAGTTTTGATGAATATGTTATCCTTGTTGAATAAAAAATGAGAAAACTAGACTTGTTTTGTTATATACGGTAACCTGTTAGAATCACAAAGCATGTTTTGACAGCATAGCCGCGAGAGCCACATTATACAATCACGCAACCATAACCATTGCCGCGAGAGCCACATCAATTTGGGCTATCTATTTTCGAAATGTGGCTTTGCCGGCCTGTAACCGTCTAAACATCATCTAAACAGCATGTGCCATGTGATCATGCGCCCCGTTTCAGGTATACAAATTACATTTTCTCTGGTGTCGCACTCCATTTTTATATTCATTACAATTAATAAGAATTGCTTTTATCAATTTGTTGTCTGCAAACTACAGTAAAGTATGAGTGCTTATCCTTAACACTATGTACTACAGATTTCACGAAATATACAGGGTAATGCATTCCTGGAAAAGTAGCTCAATCAGGTTTTTGAGAATCATATTTTGGGGAAGACAGAACTGAATGTGCATCATCGAGTTGTTGGATGTTTGTTCATGTGTGAATTAGTCGCGTGACAACGCCCACGCGTCTTTTCTAAAGTTGTATTTGAGCAAGATGATTATATGGTGCATATTGTAATATTTCCTCACAAGAGTCAGTTTGGTTCATCATTTTTGGATAAATATTTCTCTCTTAAAAAAAAACGTGCAAAAGTAAAACAAGATGCGATCATGTGCACGCTGTAACGGGGAGTTGGCGCCACTTGGTCCTCCGCAATAAGTGCTCGCTAGCCACTAGAGATACAGTAAACTATGGTTATAACGAACTCAAAGGGACAACTAATTTTAGTTCGTTATAAGCATATATACATGATATACATCATACCTACAGCAAATAGTCGGGACCAAAAAAGTAAGTTTGTTATATCCGTCAGTTCGTTATAAGCGTGTTCATTATAACCGTAGTTTACTGTAGTTAAAGGATCATATAATTAAAGGCAGACACTCACCTGGAATATGTGGAAAACTGGCAGTCCCCGCTAATATAGGCTAATCATGATAATTCAAGTTGGAAATTACCACTTTGTGAAATCAAATTTATCATGTATATCAGTCACTTAAAGTGGGGATGAATATCCTTTCCTATAAACATTGCAGTAATGTCTCATTTTGGCAAAGGACAAAAGCTACAACGATCAGACGAAACTGGGCCCCAATGTTTGGGTTTTGACACTTCTGTCTTAGAGGTGGGCTATTTTGTATGGAGTTATTTTCAATATGTGTGAAAGGTAAGGTTAGATAATTAATCGATCATTGATCCTTAAATCAATAATCGATCTTGATATAAGTTCTCAAAAACAATTCATACCGAGTGGGACAGTTACTAGAAAGTTATAGTTAAGGGGACATTGTCTGACAGTACAAACAAACCCCACCAGGTGACACAAAAACTTGGGTTGAATGATTACAGTGAGATGCTAATTCCAACGAAACCATAAAACAAATCAGGTAAATAATGGATTGTGGGCTCTCTCTTTACCTTCAATTAGGACAAAGCCTGATATGTCCAACTCTTTTCATATATCTTCTATCGGAAAGTATCCCCTGCAAGTGTCGTCGGAGGAGGCCTTCTGAAAGTTGCCATTTACGAGTCATGTGACGTGCGTCTTACTCAACAAGGGGAACTCACTCTCATATTTAGATGATAGCAGTTTCAAGTTGATACATGTGGCGTGCAAGTTCGAATCGTGCAAATGTCGCTGGCTTCGCTCAATGACTTGATTAACAATATTTATTTTGATTGTTTTAAAACGTAAATATTTGTAATATGATTATAAGAAATATATATTTGAATCATTGGGAATCTCACGGTATCAGGAAAATATTATTTCTCTCTAAAATGAACACCTTGAACTCGTTAGAAAGGACATAACATATTATACCTTTCATCTGGTCACACACAAGGAGACACACACGTACAAATTCACTGTCCAACACACACGAGTTGTCAGTAAGGAGATATCTGGCTTACTCTTACACAAACAACCTGTCCTGGAAAAAAAAAAATACTAACACCATTGTGATTACACGTTTCTTTCACGTTAGACTCGTAGATTCACATATAATCACAAAACTCATTTCTCAACAAGTCTCATAAACTGACTATAGTCTACGAGGATATCTGCGATTTCGATGTGTTATGCTTCGCTGAATCTCACCTGGACGCCAACATTCAGTCAGCCGACCGGCTCCTTCATCCCTTCCACGAACCTCACAGGGGGGACAGGGATTGTTTCGGAGGTGGTATAATTGTATATTTTTCTAGTTCACTTAGTGTCAAGCATAGAACAGACTTGGAAGTTATTTCTTCTGAATCAATGGGGTTTCAGGTTTATTCACCACAGCACAGTTTTCTGCTTTGTGTCACCTATCGCGCACCCAACGCCCCTACCGCATATTGGACTGTTCTTGAGCACATGATAGAACTGCACTTGATATATCCCGTAATATCGTTCTTGTTGATGTCCTCAAAGAAGATCTTTTCAATACGAATATCCACCACTCACCTGACATAATAACACACATGAACTTACGCAGTATTATAGACGAAGCAACGCGAATAACAAAACATTCGGCTAAATTTATTGACCCTATTTTAGTAAGTAATGATTGAAATTGTTTCTTATCCGGTGTACTCGATTTTAGCTCCGATATATCTGACCACAGGTGAGTTTTCGTGTCTATAAATGTCTAATACAAAAATGTCATATAAAAGAAAAGTATGTCTCTGCAAACAAGCTAACTTTGCTAAAATGAATATACAAATTAAGAATAAAAATTGGAATGAGTTTTTTAAAGACTCTACAGACGTTAATGAAATGTGTGAAAAATTCCACTCCAAGCTAAAAGATTACATGCAAAGAAAAAACGTTGTACAATTTACAATAGACCCGTGAAGATTCCTGGGTAGAATAGGTCTTCAGCAACCCATACTTGCCGTAAAAGGCGACTATGCTTGTCGTAAAAGGCGACTAACGGGATCGGGTGGTCAGGCTCGCTGACTTGGTTGATACATGTCATCGATCCCAATTGCGTGGATCGATGCACATGATGTCAATCACTGGATTGTCTGGTCCAGACTCGATTATTTTACAGACCGCCGTCATATAGCTGGAATATTGCTGAGTGCGGCGTTAAACAAACAAACAAACAAACAAAACAATTTACAATATTGTTAATAACCTATGTCCATCGTATTTACATGACACGTTACCACCCAAAGTATCAACTATTAGTAGATATGAGTTTCAAAATAAGAACAATATGAATTTGCCGCATGCACGAACAGCTACATACCAACAATCATTTATACCTTCTTCAATCAAACTATGGAATGAGCTACCCCCTAAATGCAGATCTCTTCAAAGTAAATTTATCTGATACTTTGTCCTGCTCTTGAGGAAGCCCGTGTGAAAACAACATACTCTTCTTTTTTGAATGTCCCAATTACACTATTCCCAGAAATATCATGTTCACTGACATTATAAAGGCTGGAACTACATGTACAATACACAATATTCTCTACGGCGATGTATTATATATCTGGCTGAAAGTCACAATAACCTGTCGACTAATAGATTTTAGTAAGTATTTATCAGAATGTATATGAATACATGGGTATCTCTGCTCCGCCTCTGTCTGTAAGCATTATGTATACGGGTATGTATATGTTGGTATGTGTGTAAATATGTGTGTATGTCAGTGTGTACATACGTGCAATGTGCGTATATAGTTATAATTAAATAAGTGGAGTAAGATTGAACACAGTACAAGTCTCATCATCATCATGTGGTACGAGTTGAAAGCGCTAGCCTATTAAAACTGTGTTCAATCTTACTCCACTTATTTAATTATATGTGTATGTATGTATGTATTTGTGTTTGTGTGTATATGTATGTATTTAATCAGGTGTATAGGTATTAAATATACAAAAGGGCAGAGTCCAGATATTCGTGCTTGTCAAAATTCTTTTATCTTTCGTCGTTCAACGGCATATCCTACACCACGAGATCTGACTTGGCTGTGGTTCAAGGAAACTTGACCTAAATCGCTACATGAATCACATTCTTCAATCTCACCTTCTTCCAATCATTGACCGCCTGAGGGAGCTGTTTCAACAGGACAACACCCCACCGCACACAGCTCGTGTCACGGTAGACTACCTTCATAATGCCAACATCAACGTCTTGCCATGGCCGTCGAGATCTCCACATTTCTCCAGATCGAACACCTCTGGAATGAATTCGATCGACGTTTACGTCAACGTCAGAACACGCCACAGACACTCCCACAACTGGCCAACGCGTTACAAGTAGAATTCCGCAGAATTCCGCAGGACAGAATTCGTACACTTAACCAGTCAGTGCCGAGGAGATGCAGAGCCGTGATTGCTGCCCGGGGCGGTCACACGAGATACTGAGTTCAGCGCCACCATGTGGCCTTATGTGACATGAAAATGAACAGTTTTCAATACAACAACATGTGACTATCGACCTCCAAAATTTCATATTTCTATCTATGATATCAAATTAAATATTTCGACTGTATTAGGTACAATACATTTACTAAAAATCTACCTGAGCGTTTCTTTATTTGAAGAGTATATATATATATATATATATATATATATATATATATATATGTGTGTGTGTGTGTGTGTGTGTGTGTGTGTGTGTGTGTGTGTATGTATGTGTATGTGTATGTGTGTATGTATATGTGTATTCATTTTCTTCTGTTCAAATATACTGAACAACCAAAGTTCCTGTGACATTGAATAAGATTTAATGCAAAGTTATGTTTTTTACCAAATCTGAAACAATTTCGGTTTGCAACAGAAAAAAGTCTCCTGTAAGTGTTCAAATGGTTTAATTTGCCATACTGACTTCAGAAAATGCGTAATTTCATACACACAAAAAACCACCATGACATGCCAAAATGTCAATTTACAAATCAATAGCGTGTGTGTCCTCCTCTGTTTGCGATGCATCTTTGTCTCATGGAATGGACCAGGCGTCGAGCAAAGTCCTGTGGGATATCTGTCCATATCTGCTGGAGCATGTTTCGAAGTTCCTGGAGTGTCTGTGGAACACGTGGTTGATGTCGAAGGCGCCGTTCCATCTCATCCCACATGTGTTCGATACGCGAGCGATCAGGGGAGCGAGCCGACCAGGGGATGACATTCACGTTGTTTTGTTGAAGAGAATCCTGAACAAGTCGAGTAATATGAGGCTGGGCGTTGTCATGTCGAAAGGTAATGCCTGGGCCATGACGACGCAAAAACGGTAGAACAACAGGGCCGATGGTCTCGTCGCGGTAGCGCTGTCCATTGAGATTTCCCTCTACCACTATCAAACGGGTACTCTGTCTTGCTGTAATCCCACCCCATACCATAACGCTGCCGCCCCCGAACCGATCTTAGGTACCACGCACTCATCAATGTTTACATTGTAATTCGAAGCGACCTTAAACGTCTCAAGTGAGTGCTTCTTAAACTTTCTCCATTTTGAAGTGTCCGTAAAATACTGATTGTGATTCAAGTTTGGCTCCTGCAATAGTCAACATCCTCAAACATACCAAAACACTGGCAGCAACCACATACCTGAGCGTGACTGGAGAGCACGTCACCTACTGGCTACACAACATCTCCATCAATAACCTTGATGTATTTCTAACGCAGCACGGACGTCTATTCATTGACGACCGCCTCCGTGGTCTAGTGGTAGAGCGTCCGCCCGGAGAGCGGAAGGTCCGGAGTTGGATCCCCGGCCGCGTCATACCAAAAGACGTTAAAAGATGGTACTTGTTGTTACCCTGTCTGGCGCTCGGCATTAAGGGGCTAAAACAAGGCCTGGTCGGCTCGGAGTCAGTATACTGTGTCTGAGTGGGGTATTCATGTTAAACTGCGGCATGGTATCTCAGTGAGCTAGCACTATAAATCGGCATCAGTCCGGTCTAGTACAAGCAGCCACACACACACACACGTACATGCACGTCGCTATATAAGTGCAATAATCTTGGACGCGACGTTAAACCCCATTTCCCCTCACCTCACCTATTCATTGACACTTCTATGGTGGCCGAGTGGGGACATCGTTTTCTCGCTTTCTCGCGGTAAAGCCACATCCTCTTTTGACTACAATAGGGACCGCATGTGTTATCTGTTTCAGTTGGGAGGGAATATTGAACTGTTCTCACTATTTACTTAAAACATAATTGTACAGTCGTAGGTGATTTTATAACAATCCGACAAAATAATTCTTTGGGCATTTGAAACAATACAAACAGTGGCTGATAATACTGACACTTATTTGTCAATATATGATCCATATGTAAATCATTATTTGTTTTAGTTCAATGTATCTTTTAATGTTTCAGTTTTAAGATTGGAGGAAGAATGGGGTGGTATAATGAACATAATGAAAATATGAATATCGACTATTCTGCTGAAGTCTGTGAATCTTGCTTATTTACAACACTACAAGAAAAGAAACACATGCGTGTATATAAACTAAACGAGATAGCATTATGTATGTATATGTAACATACTTATCTACTACAAGATGTTGAAAAAATCTAATTATAAGAGGCAAAACAGCAGTGAGAGTT